GAGAACAAAAAATTGTTAACCAAATAATATTAAACTTGATCACTTTTGTTTCACACCGAACAATAGCTGGAATAAAGGAATCCAGTATTTAAGAAGTTTGGGCAGATTTGAAGAGGTTAGTTTTTATAATTTTCGTTTGGCCTCGACTATCCATGGACTCATCAGGTTTTACATGATAAACTTTAAGGGTAAAATACATAAGGAATTTATTTATTTTTATTAAATCTACATGAAAGTATAAGGTCAGTTCAAAGTCAACAAAAATGGATTACATTTTTGTTCCTCATATCTTTGGTTTCTTTTTGTGGATTTTAACCAACTTTATACTTCCTCTATTACAGTTTGCTAACTCACAATCAGAAATGTTACTTTAAACGACAAACGAATCTTGGATACATTAATCAGAAAATAAGAAACTTAAGTTAAACTTATACTTCATCGTGACGCCAAAATAATTCACCAATTCATAGAAAAGTTACGCTGATTATCTTTTGACATATCAGTGAGCGTTGTATTGTTACACTATCAAGAAAAAATGTGAAGTTGTGACACTAACACATCATATAGTGGCAGCTTAGCGAACAAGCTGAAGATCGCAATATGATCCAAAAGCTCGAAAATTTATACAAGAAGAGTGTTATTAGCCGTACTTTATTTATCTGGAACCTAATCTCAATTATTCTGCATCTTGATTGGTTAAGTAGGCGACATTAACTGAGATCTCCCTCTGAAATTTGAGATACCTATTGCAGTATCAGTCGTACCCTCCGAAATTAGTAACATCAAATTCTCATAAGTCTGAACATTTACAGGATCAAAAGTGGGATTGTGCAAAATTGTTTAAAAACTACAGCAGAAACATTTCTTATAAAGGCTAGTAACCACAGATTTATGAACAGTTAACGTTAATGTTGTGAAGTATGATCATAAAGTAAGACACAATTTCTATAATCAATCTTTTAAAATGATATTAAATAATTGTTGCTATTCAAAGTGCGATGGTTTTTCCGGTTGTTATGCCGTGCCGTTACACTGCACATAACCTTAGTTGGGAATCTTTGATCTGCCCGTATTGTTCTTAGACTAGGTTCTGTAGGGGCTGACCCGCTGTAAGAACCCCTTCATTTCATTTCATGTTGTTGGTTCTAAAGCTGGTTCGGACGGAACCACTCTTCAGACAATGGTGGTTCTCTGAAAAGTTCTGTAATTTAAACTTTTCGCCGTTCTTCGTTGTCATCGCCTTCTATAATGCAATCTGGAAAAACTTCGCCTCAATCGTGAAAGTACCGAACCGAAACGAACATCAGAGCGAGTTCTGATAACGGGTCCGCCACCACAAACCTTAGCCCAAGAAGTGTATTCTAGTATAACAACCGTAGGTTCGACAAAAAATAAGTAAACGTAGTTGTGGCCAAAAATATGTGATCATCATAAGAAATACCTACGTTGTGTGTATTTATTTTTTTATTGACCAATAAGCGCTGGCTACTAACTTTGTAGAGGGGATGTACGGTTTAATTATATAAAACAAAAGCAGAGTAAATACACCTAACCTTTATTTACATACAATTCAAATTAAACATGTGACAAATAGAAAGAACAACAAAAACATTAACAACCATTTAACATAAAATGAGAGTGCCAGGCTCACCTAGAGCTCCTGCGGGGAAAGAGCATGGCAGAGAAACCCACGATCGTTGCTCTTACCACCCAAATATAAATACAAAACAACCGCTAACCAAAGGCATAAATTAAGAACCTTTGCTAATGATAAATAAGACCTGTCTCATTTAATGTGTCACTAAATGTCATCTGTTACCTCATATTAGTCATACACACTTCCAAGTAAAACTGAAGAGGTTTGGTGTTAGTTAGCCGGCAGAGCCGGAAGGTACTGGAGTCCCATACGGGAGGCAATCCAGCTATAGTTGAGATTTCGGAAGATCCTTCATAACACTGGAGTCCCATACGGGAGGCAATCGAGCTTAATCCAGATTCGTTCCGCACGGGCGAAAATGTTAGTAAACTCAACAAGGCTCGTATAGACGTATGACATAAAGTGAGCACAAGAAATCAAAGAACAACTTAATCATGGTAAAACAAGTTAAATGTGAAATAAAGAAGTCGTTATTGCAATATCCGGGCGGTCACGACAATATACATATTTTAACATGTAATAAATAATGAGCAATCTATAATAATAATTGTAACAATTTTATATTAGAAAAATATACGCCCCTGAGCGTAAGACAATGAAGGCTAAACATATACAGAATTATTATCATGAAACATCTATATTTTACGTATAACGTAATCGTGGCAAAAACAAGTTAGATGTGAAACAAAGAAGTCGTTATTGTAATGTCTGGCAATCAGGACAATACATATATTTTTAACATGAAATAAATAATGGGCAAACTTTAAGTATAATTATAACAATTTTACCTTGGAAAAATATATGCCCTTGAGCATAAAGCAATGGAAGCTAAACTTACAAAGAATTATTATCATGAAACATCTATAATCATCACAATCATAAGATTATATAGAACAATTAACAACAAAGTACTTAAAGAATATTACCTGCTAACTAATAACACTTTAAACAATTAACTTTTCACTACTTTGACACACTGCCCGCCGATCGTCTTGCTACCTATCTGCACACTGTTCTCACTTCAACTGCCTATCTTCAACTATTTAGGCTTCCTTCCAGAATTTCCTACCTAAGTGCCTGTTTTTTGTGCTTCCTTCTATCGACCGTTAATATTACTTTTTCATTGTTATACAACACCTATGTAACAGGTGACGTCGAAGTTGATAAGATAAGTACGGTTTTGCACAGACGCCCCTTTGGAAGATAGTGATGAGACGAACATGGCTCAGAAATATCTTTCAACACACAAAAACGGACTTTCCTTTCATTTGAATTAATGTCGCAGAAAGTGTAAACATTTGGAAATGGTTTGTCTGGTATGTACTTTATAAGGTACAGAATATAACGGGTAGAATTTGTAAATAATGTTCTTCGTAGCATCGGGAACATGATCTTCACGTAGGAGTTCTAGATCTCCGACCAATATCGTTTCAAATGAAACGTGCTCCTTTGACAAACGTCGTTCTGCATAGACTCCACACTTCTAGGCATGACTTTGACCAAACCAAATCTCGACAGGAACAATAAGAGGCGGTCAGTAGACGCATCCGTTACCTCAGCACTGGTGACCATAGGAGGAGGTGGCTTAAGTTCTGCTACAGGTCCTTTAATTGGATGACTCGGTCGCCCCTCGCTGGAAATATCTACTCTGCCTCTGGGTTCGTTAGGAGTACTGAAGTTGTTACTAATGCGGTACTGGCTGTGACTGCTGTTAAGCTACTGCTGTGGCTGTTGCTGCTGGTGCAGTTGCCGCTCCTACTTTTGCTCCTGCTACTGCTACTGCTGCTGCCGCTGATGCTATATACAAAAAAAATATACAGCAGTATCATGCTATAACATAAACATCCAAACATCCCCATAAAGCTTTCACTGTACAGCGCCTATCCTGGTCACGGCACCATTCTGTAGTATAACAACCCTAGGTTCGACAAAAAATAAGTAAACGTAGTTGTGGCCAAAAATATGTGATCGTCATAAGGACTACCTACGTTGTGTGTATCTATTTTTAATTGACCGGAAGGCGCTGGCTACTAACTTTGTAGAGGGGATGTATGGTTTAATTATATAAAACAAAAGCAGAGTAAATACACCTAACCTTTATTTACATACAATTCAAATTAAACATGTGACAAATAGAAAGAACAACAAAAACATTAACAACCATTTAACATAAAATGAGAGTGCCAGGCTCACCTAGAGCTCCTGTGGGGAAAGAGCATGGCAGAGAAACCCACGATCGTTGCTCTTACCACCCAAATATAAATACAAAACAACCGCTAACCAAAGGCATACATTAAGAACCTTTGCTAATGATAATCAAAACTGGACTTATTTAATTTCTCACTAAATGTCATCTCACTCAAGTCTGACATACACACTTCCAAGTAAAACTGAAGAGGTTTTAGTAACAATAATAGCAACAACAACAACAACAACAACAACAACAACAATAATAATAATAATAATAATAATAATAGGGAAGGTACTGGAGTCCCATAATACGGGAGGCTATCCAGCTAAAGTTGAGATTTCGGGAGAACAACAACAATAATAACAATAGTAATAATCATGGGTGAAAAGGTTAGTAAATTCAACAAAGCTCTTAAATACGCATGACATAAAGTGAGCACAAGAAATCAAAGAATAACGTAATCAAGATAAAACAAGTTAAATGTGAAACAAAGAAGTTGTTTTGCAATATCTGGGCAGACACGACAATATACATATTTTAACATGTAATAAATAATGAGCAATCGTTAATAATAATTGTAACAATTTTATCTTAGAGAAATATAGGCCCCTGAGCGTAAGAAAATGGAAGCTAAACATACAAAGAATTATTATCATGAAACATCTATAACCATCACAATCATAGGATCACATAGAACAATTTACAACAAAGTACTTAAAGAATATTACCTGCTAACTAATAACACTTTAAACAATTAACTTTTTACTACTTTGACACACTGCCCGCCGATCGTCTTGCTACTTATCTGCACACTGTTCTCACTTCAACTACTTATTTTCGACTATTTAGGCTTCCTTCCAGAATTTCCTACCTAAGTGCCCGTTTTTTGTGCTTCCTTCTATCGACCGTTAATATTACTTTTTCATTGTTATACAACACCTATGTAACAGGTGACGTCGAAGTTGATAAGATAAGTACGGTTTTGCACAGTATTGTAAGTTTGTAACTAGCGGCGACCAGGAAAAACCATCGTACTTTAAATATCAGTACGGGTTGTAAAAGCCTTAAAACCTTTACCACTATTATGTATTTGCAAAGTATTTCCTTAGAATCAGAATTTGCTAATCCACACCCTTTACACTTTTTATTTAGTTTCAGGGTGACAAGCACGAGGCTTATGTGAGACTGACTCTGAACCAGCACTACAGGGCAGTCAAAGAAAAACGCACAGGCATAGCGAAGCCTTCGAGAGACAATACCGTAACCTTCACTGAAGGATTTAACTTCAAACTAGCGCCAGCCCAGGTGGACATCACCAGCTTGGCCTTCCACGTGTTCCAGTCTACATCAGGTTATGGTAGGGGTACGTGTTATGTTTTGTAGTTTCAAGGAAAACTTCCATTTTAAAAATGCCGCATATATAATCATATTGTTATTCTCTTCCAACTAAAAGCCACAATTAAAAATTATGTAACTGTTGCTGTTAAAATGTAGTAAACAAAATAAGTAAGTAATTCTAAAAAAAAGGATGATGACAGGCAATACTTGTATATAGTAAGTATATTTTTTCTTTGTTATCCACAATTTTGATAGTATATCAGTCTAATAGAATCAATGACGACAGTAGCTTGTAATCAATGAATTGTTGAACAATTTCCAGGCTGCTTTCTACATCGTATACCAAGGTTGATTAAAGATATAAAAGACCAGACACAAAGCAAATATGTAATATCATTAGAAGACTTGATTTCAAGTTCAGAGCTTCTTCTGACTAAAAAAGCGATACCTATCTCTTTCGAAACGGCAAGACGTCCAATCTGACGACTAGCAATAGCTCGAAAATTGTTCAACCAATAATAGGTATATAATGTCAAAAATTATTGAAGATTGAAATAACAGAAAATTTAGTTTACTAGAACGGTTTATTAGAATGAATTAATTTCTACAGGTCTTAAATACTTCTAATAATTTTTAAGATGTGGGGTATTCCTTGAATAAACAGTGTCTTTTATGCTTTATTAGGTTTAGCCAGCAGTAGGTACATTATTTTCATTTTGCTTTATTTTTTACAAACGTACAATATGATTTGAAAAAACCGATATATTTGTAATTTCTCTCATTTTATTATAGAGTACATAAAAAAGACAATTAATTAAACGAATACGAAACAATGATATCAAATATCTTCGTTCCTGCTTCAAGAAGCATTCTATTTCAAAAAAATGTTATCTGAAATAGCTATTATTTTAATATTTAATGTTTGTTATTGTATCTGCATTTTCTTATCAACCAATTTGAACTAGAAGCATCTGATCTAAATTTCTAAAACTTCTACCATTCTTCTCTAAAATTAACTAGGTAACCGATTTTTTGGGTCTACGCCAACTATGATAAAATCTCTCAAAATTGTTTATAAACTATGAAATATAATTATCAATTTCATCCTAATTGCATAACTTTGCAAGCGAACCAATTGATATCATTCCAAGTATACTGTGCTTCAATAAAATCTCACTTTGGCACTTTGAACTCGTTACCATAATAAAATTGCGGATAGATTGTAAAAATAAAACCGCAACTACAGAGACAGATTCTGAATACAAATAAATTATGTATTTGTAGCAAATAAAACAAAAAAATAGCCCAATCAAAATTTAATACGGATCATGCGCATTGCGAAAACATTCTTGTTAGAAGACCAGCAAATGTGATATTATTTTTGCAAGACATAATTTAGCAATGTCTTGGAAACTAGTGTTGTCAAATTAGCATAAAATCATAGACAACAGAAAAAAAACTTGAGACATTTTTCTTAAAACAATTATGCCATGTTTTAAACAAGCATATTTCGACTGAAGCGAAAAATTTAAATAGCAACATATAACATCTTCAAAAATATGCCAAAATTTTTAGTACCTTTAAACTAATAATAATTATATATTTAATATTTATTTGAAACACTAGTCTCCGCAGACTATGTAACTACTGATCGGGCAATCTAGATCAGTATGACATAACCATTTAGACAAGTCCTGGATCAAAATTTATGAATATATAGTGATTTTTCAATTTTCAATATTTGGGGTTTGAGCCATTTGTGTAAATTAATGTATTTATGGTATTCACCACTAACGGCCAATAATAGAATTCCAAAATTCAGAGACCGTACAGACAAGTAGGGTGACTATTGATAAATAGTATTTGTGGTTCAGGATAAGATACAATTTATAAAAGTCCAACAGTAATTTCTGTAGCTGTAACACATTAGGTGATATTGAAAGAAGAGTACTATAATACGCGGTAGATGGGAACAAATACGAATAAAAATGGCAAAGTGGCGATTTTAAAATCATTGCAATAATACTGGGCCATTCACAAAAACTTCTTCCTTTTTAAGTGAATGGGATCGTCGTGATCGAAAAAAACCCTAACGTGTAAAGTATTTGTCTTCCTAGAGATACTTTTTATGCTGAGTTTAAGAATGTAATACATAAGCCACTTGTTGGTCCGTCAAAAATCTTTTTTCCACCTCTCCACATCAACTTGAGACTCAAAAAACAATGGGTAAAAGTTCTAACCAAAGACAGTCAAGGCAGATGGGATATAAACATGTTAGCCAACTGCTGGTTGTTAAATCGAGATTTACCATTGAAATCGAAAAACGTAAAACGTTTGATTTCATGAGATTCATCAAGGCAAAACATCTCTTATCTTGAAAAACTGTTCTCAAGAATCTCAATCGACTCGAACTCACTGTGTAAAAAAATGTACACGTAGCACTAGCGGACACATTGGTTTAACGCTTACTTAATTGGGCTTATGATACTTGAATTTTGTCATGTCAAAATAATTAACTCGAGAGTTACGAGATCAGAGTTAAAATTCTCCTTAAAATGTAAGTAAAATTTCTTCTTTAAACTTCTTTGTTACGCAAATTCTAATAACCATATAAATCTTAACTTGAGTGTTTTGAGTTTAGAACTTGAGTATTTAGTAGACTGATCTTGTCAAACGGATTCGGATTCAGTGACCTCAAAAACGTATATATATATTGGTTTACTTTGTTAGCAACTGATTCTCTACATTTGACCTTAAACTGACCTTAACCCAGAACTAATAGGGTTAAACGGACACCGGATTCGGATTCAGCGATCCCAAAAACATATGGATACCATGGTCTTGTCTTTCGGACCTCCTAATTTTTATTTGTGGAGCTATTTTCAGCGTGCTATACGAAACCGTAGAAAAAAATATACACGATGGGTTTTTCGGAAAGGCTCCAGAAGAATAGGGATTTTCCCAGTACGGTTCTAGAATTTTAGGATCCTGACTTTAAGCTTCTGTTGGCCTTTGTTAGTAGTACATAGTGTATAAAAATTAAATTAAATCCAACAAATGGTTCGAAAGCTATAGCTAAAACAAGTTTTAGTGAAAATTAAAAAATCACCCATTAGGTATATTTCAATACTTTTGCCATTAAGTAATCGCCTACAGTAGGTTATTCCGCTCTGCCATTAATACAATTCGTCATAAAATATCCGATAGTCAAAACCCATGTTATATCGTAACGTAATTGTTTCTGTAATATCCTTACTGTATGCAAATTTGTCTTAATTTCAAAGGCTAACGTTGATAAAAATAATTGTATATACAAAACTATCGTAATTTGTATAAATATTGATCTAGTATCTCACTATTAAATCGGAAAAATTAAAATTCAAGTTAAAAAAACTCCTTATGCTTTAAATAGTTACTGTGCATGTCTGTTAATGGTTTTGTCTGTCTATATGTTCATTAGCTGTAATGGTTTTAGGAAGCGATTAGTTTTAATTATATAATAATTTTAACTACTTCTATATTTACTATGATGTAAAATTGTGGGACAGTAATTTTGTACTTTCTCTGTTACACAATAATTTTTAATATGAAAAACGGTATAAAATATACACGCATCGATATGTATATCCATACTATGGGAATATTTCGATGTCATTACAATTGCACCATAATTAAAACAATTCTGAATCCTACATTAAAATCAATTAAATCGCGTTAAATTGCAATAATTACCAATAGTCTAATTGGAAATACTTGTTTATAATAAGAATTAATTTATTCAGGTCCCAGTTTTTGTATTCAAATTAAGGAAAGAAATTATTATAATGACAAATTTATTGAATTTTTACGTCGTCCATTAGCAATTTCCAAAATATAATTATTCCCACTACCAAAAAAAAAATCTATTTATTAACTATACAGGGTGTTTCAAAACATATGTTGGAAAATGAAGGATGTATCGTTTTCTAAATGTAGGGAGTTGAAGAAAATAATCTGTCCTCTTGAACTTGACCCTCATGATCTTACTAGATATTCCTTGATTTCTTTTTTCAGAGAATTATTAAAGAAAACGTATTGTAGTAACAACATTCAGTGTTTATCCAAAAATTAATTTCATGTAACCTCGACATTGACGTAATAGACGTAAGCAATAACATTAATTTAAATAAAATATTTAATAACTTTTACTTGACGTTCATTTTATACGTAATGAACTTGACTTAAGTAACAAAAAATGTGTTGCATTTCTAAGGTCAACATTAATTAGTTTCTTATAACTTGATACGACGAATCAAATACAACAGAAATTTTAAAATGAAAATAAATTACAATCCAGATATGTGGGTATAGGAAAATGGTGGATGTAGATAAGCACGATTTGCTACATAAGACCTTTGCAACAGGATTTCTGCAATCAGTAACACAACATGAGTAATGTTAGATCTACAGAGTGGTATGCTAACTATGTTCGCCTATATATTAAAATTAGCCAAAAAGAAATAGACGTGGCCATATAGAATGCATACGCTACGTATGCAATATGTCGATGCAAATTAGATTTTTGACTGTACAGGCTGGTCCATTTTCGATGGGATTTCAGGGTATCTCAGAAACTACTAAAGATATGATAAATCTGACACCACGTTCTCGAGCTCGATTTTCATGGCAAACTCGACTGTCAAATCAGAAATTTGCTATCTTCATTTGTTTCTGAGTTACAGGGCGTTTCTCGTTATTGTGACCCTTTTGGACATGTCTGTATCTCAGCTGTTAAATAAGTTAGAGTTAAAGTGAAAACTGCTCAAGACTAATTTTTTGGCGTAGAATTGAATGCCGGTATTAGACTTTTAGTAGGTCTTAAGATTCCGGAGTTATGACCCAAAGTTATAATTTTTTTAATGAAAATCGTAGCTGGTTATGACCTAAAAAATGGAGATTTTTTTTTGCTTTTCAGCAATATACCACATGCTATAGTTATTTTTCCAAACAGAGAAGATACGGGGTGTTTCATATATAAATTCGATC